TATTATTTTGTTTATATACAGAGTAAATGGCTCAACATTTGTGCTTAATGTAAAGCTGCTTTATAAAATTGTAAAATAAAATTTTTTATCTTAAGTCACGGTTTTGGGTGTTGTTTTTTAATTGGTATATGAATCCCTTGCATGAGAAAATGTAGTCACTTGATTGCACATCAGTAAAAACAAACCCAGTATCTGGTTAACAGTCTTCTTAATGGTCTGTTACTCTATCCCAAAAAGGGACATTTATCCTCCAGCCAACGACCCTCTGCAGCGAAAACAGCACAGTCTCTCCTTGTTACTAGCTTGCTTGTTGGGGCTTCGTTTCGTCTTGGAGATGACTTCCACTCATACCTCTGATTCCCAGCTTCCCACGTAGATCCTTGCAGTCTAGACAGACCCTATCGGAAAAAGATACGCAAATACACTCCGCATTTTCCATATCTTTTCCCCATACTTTTGTCAGAAGAGGCTTTTCCGAAATTTGGCCTGTCTTGACTGGGCCAAATTTTGGAAAAAAAAAAACCTCTTTCGAAAGCCCTCTTCTTCCTCATGGAATGAGGGACACAGGGTCTTCTGAAAGAGCATGTTTGCTCTTCTGCAAAAAAACCGGAAGAGCAAACGCATTCCCTAGACTCAGCGGAGGTAGGTTTTTTTTTTTTTTTTTCAGGATACCTTCTGTATCCCAAAAATCCCCCGCAGTCTAGCCATACCCATAAGCTTGATACTGAGAGTTATTTCCATTAAAGGTCCCCTAGAAACTAAATGCATTTAATTCTCATGAAGGGTGATCATTCTAAACTTGCACTGATGATCATTGGAAAATGAACTAATGAAGCAATGGCTGGGACCGCTCTGGTCCAGCAACATCCGTGGTCTGGCATGATGTTAGTTGGCTACATGGTAAGTGGACATCTGGCTGTTTCCCACGGCCCCATAAAGTTTGTTTACAGCCTCCAGTCCTGGCTGTCAGTGTTCTGGGCTGTTATTTAGCTCTAATTTACCCCTCAATGTCTTCGAAGAGCCCAGTCAACAGTGAAAGTGTTGGTGATGCTGCTAGACAATATTGACCTCCTGAGGTTTGGCAAATTCTCAGGTTTGGCACCGGTCAGGTTCCAAGGGTGCCAGAGTAGAAAGGTTCAACCTGTAATCTATACAAGAGCATTACCAGTCTTGTTTTTAGCTGTAGCTTAAGCTAAACACGCCTCGTGTATGTCTGCCTTATTTGTAGGTATAAACGTTAAACCTGTTTGGGGGGGAGGGGGTTGTTATGCATGTTGGGTTTTTTGGAGGGGGTGGGTTTAAGGCTACTAAACTTTAACTTACTGCACTTGAAAATTGTAACAAAAAAGGAAGAGGAGCCTCTTGAAATGTGTCCTACAAGGCTTTTTCTGTTCTGTTTCTGACATGCAACTTCCTGCTTAACGCACAGGGAGAGCAAATTGGCATATATTTTGCTAGTTGCTGCCATGGCCTTAGTTACTATTAGCTTGAAGGTGAAAACTCAGATGATTTTTAGTCGCAAAGAACATTCTGACCTACATAAGTGTAAAACCGCGACTTAATGTGTCTTAACTTTATACAATTCAAATGCCTAGAACATGCCTGTACTACAAAGAGGCAGACTTTCCAGCACCTTCTTGACTATTTGGGCAAAAATATTGATTTTCATTACTTTGCAATTTGTTGAGCATGTCTGAACTGAAAATAGAAGAGAATTTAAATATGTTGTCTTGGTGATGAATCTGAATGTTTGCTGCTCAATTTGTGGTGAAAGGAGATACATTTACCATCTGCCTAGAATGATTGATAACTCACACGTGTGCATTACATTTCCTGCATGTTAAATAGTTCTCTTCTATCACTTACTAATCCTCTTCTGAGAATGGAAGGCGCTATTTAAATGACACAACTGCTCTGCGTTGTAGTGTGTTAAAGAGGCTGATTTTTTTTTTTTTTTTACTATGGTGACGTGCAAACAATGTGACAAATAGGGAGTCTTTAGGACAGTACAAAGGTCTTCAAATATAGCATTCTTTTCTGTTTAATCTGCATCCAGGAAGAATTAGGTTAGATACTAAGAGAACTGCTCTATCTATAAGGGTATTAAGCTCAGGAATATCCACAGCTTACCTTAGTGCAATTCCCATCATTGGAGTTTGAGAACGGGTTGAACTGTTTTAAGAACGGTTGATCTCTCAGGATTGGTTTAGGTTTACTTGGCCATGCCTCAGCACAGCCTGGATTTGATGACTTCTCAAGGTCTCTTCCAGCCCTGCGTTGTGTAGGATTCTCTAACCCTATAGGTCAATGAGTTGATCAATAAGTAACTCAGGTTAAAATGGTCACCAGAGGCTTCACAATGTGAGGACCACAGCCTTTCCTTTGCTGTTCTTCATTGTTGCTTTAAAAATGTATCCTAGTGGGAAGGCCGGGTGGTGGGGATGCGGGTTGATCCAGAGAGTGCTTCGTTATAGTGAGAGAATTCCTTCTCCTTGCTTTACCATAAGTCACACACGGCTTTGTTTTTGTTAAATCATGTAGTGAAACTGCTCTTTGCACCTGCTGTTTTGCATGCCTATAGCAGCTTTTGCCTAAGGACTTTTTAGTGCTTCATGCTTGTGCATAAATACTCTCCCATTCAGTGGCTAGATCCAGGCTCAGAGCTGTAACATGCCTGTGCTCCTACAGAAAATTACCGTTGGAGTTGACCGTAGAAATCTGGTCTTCTGCTCTGAACCACTTGGCCTTTGATGTGAACGATCTTTTAATAAAAATGGCAACCAGTGCAGCTCCATCTGACCTTAAATTGGGGTTTCTTGTCTTCCAAAGGATCTGTGTGTAACCCAGTGAAATCAAGTGACGTTTAAAGAATAAACAAGATCTCCTCAGAAAGCTAGAGAGAACCCTCCAATCAACACGTACTGTGTATTTCTGTTCCCCAAGCAAGGTGACCATGGAAGCTCGTATCTGCTCTGTCTGTCTCCTAAATGGTTTGTATATTTACCTTGATTGATCCCCTCCCAGTGACTTAGGAAATCACCATTTCTGGAGAAAAAGCTTGAAGTCTGGTGGAGACGAGTCCGTTCAGACTTGTGGCCAAGAGCCATCTCTTACTAGAAATCAATGCCTAGGAGCCCGAATTGCTTCACTTTTGGCACTGGTGCTCAAACCACTCAAGGGGGTTTGTTTCCCCAAATGTCTGCATGTTCTAGACCAGTGTTTCTCAACTTTTTTTTATAAAGTACCCCTTTAAAAAAAAAAGTATCCCCAGTACCTACAGTTTTCAGACCCACACTAGTTTTTCTACAGTTGCCACACATTTATTTAAACAACTTAATTGTTGCCGGGAGGGTGATGAAATTTTTGGGTGTAAAAATAATAAAATACAGTAAAACATAAAACAAATTCAATTTTCTCCAAATTTCAGTTGTTGACGTATCCCCCAGACATTTTTCAAGTTACTCCTAAGGGTACTCATGCTACTGGTTGAGAAACACTGTTCCATACCATCTGGCCCCTTCCCTAGGGCAGCTAGCAAAACAGACGTCTTGAGGAGTCCTAGAAAAGGACTTATCTGCTTGATAAGATTTTCTCTCTTGCCCCCTTCCAAAGAAACCCAAGAAATTCTCAGGCCTAAGTATGTCAGACAAATTGAACAAGTCTGGGCACAGTCCGGAGGAGAAAGCAGTGGCTAACCCAGCCCTAAGGTGCTCCTCATGAGTTGTGTACGTATAAAAAAGGAAGCATAAAACAACGAACAGCTTGTCAAAATGTAGGCGTCTACCGAAAGTAAACCTGACAGCCTCTCAAACCAACCACCGTCGCACCCGACCCAACGGACTAGTTCTAGACAAGAGACTGGCTGTGGCATTTAGAAGCCCATGTAAGGTACAGGCTTAGTCTACATTTAAAACGTGTACTGGCGTGGCTGTGTCAGGGACGTGGAGAAACCCTGCTCAATTGACAAAGCTGTGCTATGCCGTCAGCTGTGCCAACAGAAGGGGGCTAACATTGTTCAGAGACGTGCTGTTCCAACACTAGGCCAAAAACTCCTGTCAGGGTAGTCTGCAGCTATATTGGCACAGGCTCTGTTGAGTAGACACCCCAAATGTCTGCAGCCAGGGCTTCCCACCAGACACCGCAACCATTGAGCATTGCTAGCTCCCTGCCGAATGGGACAAAGGACCTGCTCAGTTGAGAGTGGTAGAGGATTCCTGATCCCTGTGAGAAGATAGGGAGGGTTTCTAGGGTTGAAGCTCTTACCTTTACCCTTGCTCTCCTCAAGAGCCAGTTTGTCAAAGCTAAGGAAACTGAGTGTAATTGGCTGGAAGGAAATGTTTTTTAAATAGTGAACGAAAACTGGGAGTCCCCGAAGATAGTTTTTAGATGGCCGAAAAGCTATGATTCTACAGTTCAAAGCAACATGTACCACAAGGGAAGTTGTAATCCATATACATTTTAAGTTAAATGTAGAAAATTGATAAGGGAACGTACTGGTTTCAGTGCAGGGCTAAGTGGGTGAAATAAATTGCCTGGACTATGCAGGAGGTGACGTTACCTGATCTGAGGGCCTTAAATGCCACTATTCTCCCTCCAGTTTCTGACAAAAGGGCCATTTCCGGAGAGCAGCATGTTCGGTGACATTGAGCCCATGATGGGATCAGCAGGCTTGTGGGTTTTCCTGGCAAAGCCAGTCTTGGGTATTCCTATGACCTGGCTCAAATGTCCATTTTCAGGTGAAAAGCACAGGGCTTCCATCAGCTAGTACCTGTAAAACCATGTTTGGGAAGAGGCTGCACGCCAGCTAATTCTGGACAAAACAAAAGGCCGACAGGATGCTCTCCTGCTTGCTTCACTCACTGGGATCCTAGGAGCCGTTTGATAAATGAACATTATAGGAACGGCCATACAGGGTCCGTCTAGCCCAGTGCTTCTCAACTTTTTTTTTTTTTTTTGCTCATGGCCCCTTTCTGAGCCTCGTTTA